CCGCAAGCCGAGAACAGCCGGAAACGATATGCCTAATGGACTCACCGGGACGACGACATGCCCGACAAATGTCAATCGTACCATCCTTTAGGATATGTTTTCGGTAGTTGTTCGTTACGATGACTTCATCCATAATTGCAAAGACAAAACCTTCAGTTTCCCCAAAGAGGTTGCTGAAGCGCAGCCAAGCCACGGAAGATAATTGGTCCACATCAGGCCCAGTTAAGGCTCGATGGAACCTGCCGTGTAGCTCCTTGCTCTTCCATACGCTAATGCGGTCTGAGACACTTAGTACCGGTAGCCTTCGCCAATTCGTGGAGGCCAAGGAAAGCGGCGTAACTCCTTTGTCCATTGCTGCAACATCCTGATACATTAAGCATTTAGCATTAAGCTTACTGTTAATCTAATTAATAAAGGGTTTTTTAGTTCTAAATAATCTTTGTTAAAACGTATGTATGAAATTTCATAAAACGTAACTACTAAAACTTTAAACGTAAGATCGTAATAATTATAAAATCAATAATGTTGTTATATTAAATTCATTGTTTTAAAGCCATTAAATAAGTAAAATATTTACTCATAGGTAAGAATGAAAAGTCGTTATAAAAGATTAATTAGTTGCGCTGACATTGCGCTTACTGTTGCTGAGAAATTGCAATTTGTATCGGATATGTTTCTACAAATTTTGGAAAGTAATTTAATTAACACTAGCGAAATATACATAGGTACAGTCAGCTTCGGTGTCCGTATATCGTTGAATAAATTGTTGCCAAATAAATCTCTATCGTTTGAAATTTCAGAAGGTAATTAATGACGAAGCTTTGTGGCAATTATAGGAAAACGGCTTACAATATTTTGTGCCAATGTCACTAATAGCCGTCAGTATATCCATAATCGTATTTACAATATTCCAATAATGAATGGCAAAGTTATTAAGTAATCTGGTATATTGGTATTTAAAATTCGGTTAATTGCAATTTCAATTATTGGACCTAAAAACTAAGTATCTACCACTTGTTACTAAAAAATAAATAAAAAAAAAATAATTAAAATTGTTAACCAAACTTATTGTTACATTTTTCTCTGACTGTACATTCAAGACGATTAAGAGCAGATCATCGTTATGCGCTGAAAATCCGCGAATATTAATTGAATATTTGCATGCGATGTTCTCGATATATGAAAACGTCCCGGAAGACAACCGGATAGATTTATTACACGCAAGACAAGTGTCATTCATCATCATTCATACATTCCATACTGTCAATCAAAATCAAAGTGTGAATTGCATTATTTAACGACTTATATATCAATAAACTCTTATTAATTTTCTTAGATTATAAATAACATTTTTACGACACGTATAATAAAGGTTTTTGGTACCCCAATATTGTTTGTACTGTTTTGAATGGTCCAAAACTTCTTTATAAAAGAAAAATCGACTTTTGTTCTTTTATAATATCAATGTGAAATTACCCAATCATTCTTAAGGTCTGTTTTAGTATGTAGTGATTAAAATTGTCATTAATTAAGATTTTATAATTAAATAAATATAATATTCAATTTTCTCTATCTTATTACAGGGTCTGTCTAACGGTGTGGAAAATGACCAAAACACTGCAAACCAACTTCCATCTAACGATATAACGCACAATCGCCTATCGATTAGCTCTACAACATCCAATCAGAGTTACGATTCTGGTAACGTAGATTACGCTATACCCAAGCACACGTACAACCAACGATTACCTTACAAATCAAACGATGAAACAAACGAAAAGACAAACAATCAAACGAAACCAACAAATCCACTATTCGGTGTTAACGCAGCCATACATTACGCACCTACACCAGTTAATCAAGATGCGAATGATAAATACGATAGAACGTTACCCAACGGTGTAAGAAAAGCCCCAGAAGGTCAGGATAATGAAGCTTACAAAACTGAAGACGCGATTGACGGTAGGAAAGAAATAACATCCAATCAGATCGCAATAACAGACGGCAGTACAGCTTCCTACACCACAGATAACAATGGTAAAATCAATGTTCATGTCACCGTCATGATTAATGCAGGTAAATATGCATCTATACGAAAAAATCTCCCTTTCATTAAATTATTAGAATATTGTCTTTGTATCGTTATAAATATGAAGTCAAAGATAATATAACTTTTATAAATTTAGCAAAACTTATCTCCCAATTATAAGAATGACAATATTCCTATAATTCGTATTAAACAATAGAACATTGGTTTAACAATTAATTGGTAAAGATTCTCTAACAGTTAACGCACAGTGATGGTTTAATTTTAAAGTTCAAGTTTCTGAAATGGGGATCGTGAAGTAACACAGGATGCATATGGAGGCAAGATAAATGTATTTACATGTTATTTTGTCTATACCTCGTTCCAATCCACGCTAAGCTATAGACAAACTGCATATTATACTAAAATTTGTAAATTAAAAAATTATAGCCTAATTTTTCAATATCATTTCGCTGTCATGAATTGTATTTGACGTTCTTTTACTTAGCTCAGGCTTCTAAGACTAAAATCTCCGTTTAAAACTATTTTATAAAGTGATTTTGGTCAGAAACCAGCGGTTAATTCTTTCCAGCGTTGGATTGAAACTAGGTACATAAATGTTTTTCTTCAGCCTCTTTTAGTTCAGTTCTTATTCGCTAGACTTTTATGTGCGTTTTTCTCTTGTAATTTTTGTTTTTGTAATTGCGACTGTTAGTTTGTTGTGTGATGTTAATTTTTAATATCTTTTATGGTTCTTTTTTACTTATAGTGAAATGCTTCTATTAGATTTTATTCTATTGGTTAATGTAACATGCTTGTTTTGCGTGGTAGTTTGTATTGGCTGTAATCAAGGCTTGTTAATAACAATTAAAAACATTCGCTGATATTTTTTAGATGCTATAGTGATTTTTCACTTTAAAATATTATAGTAAACGATTTATCATAAGTTATTGGCCGCAATTTAAAATAATGGCTTTGTAAACACAAGTGCTTTTTTCTCTGACCTTGAGTTTAGGTACAGTCGCGGTAATCTGCGGTGTTCCACTTCAAAAAGATTGCCAAAAACCGCCTGTTACAAATTTTTCAATGCTGTAACAATGTAGGTAGACCTTTTTTCGTATGTACTATTTCATACGCCATACTAGTTATTGTTCCGCGTCGTCTTCCTATTACGTACAAAACGTTCAAACGACTGTATATTTTAAGGTGGAACACCACCAGATATCCAGATTGTACATCTAATACTAGGTGTATTAGCAGTATACTATAACTTTATTTAGAAGAATTAAATATATTTGTCAAAACCAATATATAAAAGTGCACTTGTGTAGACATCGCTTTTAAATTATTTATAAAATCTGCTATTATTTAAGCCTTGCTTACTTACGCCACTGATGTCGCCCAAATAATCTTATATTATTACAAAAGTGTTAATACAATTTCCAGGAACGTTAGCAGATTTGAAGAAGCAGCGAGCACAAATAAGAACTAACGGTAGTCCGGTAGAGAACAGTTTGAATTCAACGACCAATCATAGTATGAACTCGTTACCTGAAGGTGTTACAAAGCAAGAGGGGTCAAGCCAAGTGGTCCAGTCGGCCAGTATCACTGTGCCGAGGTTCTCAGGACATACCAGTGAAGTGGTAGGTGATACAAAGTCGCATCGGTGCTGTATTATAATGTAATTTATTGGACAAACTACCCTCAATTAGGTTTTGTACAAGTCTGATTTGCATTCCAAAAAATATTTTTTAAACTACCCACAACGATGTAGTCTGTTCATTTTAAATATTTTATTAATATACTAAAATGATATACAGTCGAACCAGGTTAAACGAGAAACATAAGTCATTGTCCGGCTCCAAAGGATCAAATCCGTAAATAAGAAACTCATGTAATAAAATTTCTTGAGCTACATAAATATTGCTTAGATTCTCCTTTATCCGGGTTTAACTGTATTGGATTGTTTTACAAAAAAAATAATTAAAATAGACCGACTATAATTCGATATTCGAAGCCTAATTGCCGCCTTGTTGGATGATTAAGATGTCCTTTTTTGCCATTTTGCCTTCGTAAATCAACGGCTTGCCAACTTAAAGAATTGTGTGATAGCGACTTAAGAGCTCAACTTATAAATAGAGGTAAGGAGATATGGTAGCTGTTATTATTAATAATATGTAGAAAATTATTATTATTTAGTTATTAATAATTGTTGTATATCTTTCGTTGTATCTTTCCTATTTATACATTCCATTATTATAATGAATATATTGATGAAAATTTAATAATTATTACATTTTTAATTATTAATTTCTATGGTTGTATTTGCATATTGATATTTTAAATCTATTCGTTTTATTTCAAGGTATCTATTCCGTATTATTTTTATTATTAGCACAAATAATTTATTATTCACTGTGTATAATTGAACGCATTTGGCAGCTAATTTATAAAAAAAGTTCCTTTGTAATGTGTAAACATATATTGCTTCCATTTTTGCATTTTTATTCGATTTTAATAATTCGATTCGATTTTATTTGATTGATTGATTTTATTAAAAAAATATCGATATTCGATTAAAAATTTAAGGTGTTTTAAAATGAATACGTAATATTTAACTAAATCGATGCCTTTAAGTTGATTCAATTATTTTCCTATGTTAAAATAAATACATATATATTACATATCAGTACCTTATATCAAATATTTATGCTTTGAGAATGAAAATTGAGTAAAACCAAACATATTGCGAAAGTGTTCGGGAAAAGACCATTTTTTTTGTTTAATTTCTTTAATCAAAGTTATCTAACGTTTCCAATATGAACAAAAGTGACAAAGAGAGGCACATTGTGTTAAAAAAAATTGCCAAACACCTATTTGTCAAGAAATTGATGCTTTATCAGGCCTTTAAAAGTATACGCAACAAATCAAAGTAAATTAACATATTTTTTCACATCCTACATGTATAAGAAAACTTGCATTTTTAATTTGATAAATATGTTTGATCATGCATTGTGACAATTAATAACGCCATAATTCTTTGTGTTTCTGAAGTTGGTCACAAAACGTTGCGCAAACGCTAACCCCGTGATATCTGTCCTTATCTTTCTTAATGTCCTCATATACATCCGTCCCGCTTACATGTGAATTGAGGAACATTTCCGCAACTAACTTCAGACAAGATAAACAATGATGGTTTTATACTGATAAAATGTAAATACGCATTTACAGGAAAGGTTTTTAATTTACAGGTTTTTTAATATGAAAATAACTCTTATTAATTCTTGGGTCCAAATACCTTTACTATTATCAAAAATAAATCATCATTACTTAAAATATTTTTCCATTTTCATATAAAAAAAACGAAACTTTTGTCTTATTTTATTTCACTATTTTAAATTTGCATAATAAATATTAAATATTATGTTAAAAGTGTTAAATGTGCGTCCTATTTTGACTTAAATATATATTTGATTATTAATAAATTACAATGCCCGTGTATCAAGAATTTTTATAATAATTTTCTCTAAATTTATTAAAAAATAAATTAACACGTTGAGCGCCACGCGTATTTCTAAGACAATCCCGTTCAGGCCACGAGCGCCGCTTATACGCATATAAAAGAGCCGGTGTTTGCAATCGCAGTACCAAATTGTTTGCATTTTTAACGCAAAATAGTGTAAAATTTTTATAGTTCTCATGTCACACGCTGTCAGCCACCGATGGTTGACGCGACCTAAACAGAAAATCTAGTGTCAGCCACGGATGGCTGACGTGGCATAAACGTAAACGGAAAGTCTAGTGTCAGCCACCGATGGCTGACGTGGCGCTCAACGTGTTAATAAGCCGTGGTTCTAAATATTTGTGGTTGAAATAGTGTCTTCCATTTATCTCTATATTATAAATTTTTAATATTAACCTTCTTAGTATGTTCTCTTCTTGTAGCCGTCCGAATATTCCAAATATTGTCTTTGATGCCCTCAAATTTTCTTCTATATTTCATTAAATTTTAATAATTAATTAAAATTATTACCAAAATAGTACTACTGTTTTCAACACAGCATGGCGCTAGTAACGTTTTATCGTTTACATTACATATTTCTAAATTAAAAATGCGTATTTAATGTATACAAATTTAACCTTAAGTCTTGTCCTTCAAAATACTTAGCTACGCCATGTTGTGACGAAAACAGTGTAATTTATCTTCGTTAGAATTGACACATTCAAGTAAACTGCATAATACGTAACGTTATTAAAAAGAGTTTAATATCTTATTTAAAAATATCTTCATATAGGGCATATATTAAATTTCATATTTATATAAATAAGCATTCGGTAGTTTTCTGTAATTCCGTAGTAATTCATTCGTCCATATCATAGTCACTAGAAATAATTTTGGTAGAACTATTATAAGTACTTATAAAGTGTTTAACAATCGTGCATTATTAAAAATAAATTTGTATAAATTGAAAAATATATTCTAAACTCTAATTCATACGAAGCAATATCTAATGGCCTTATATAAATTTAATGGATGCACACTATAATGATATAAAAACGACTAAACACTCACGTATATTCGTCCGGTGACACTCACAGTGAGCGACGCGCCGCGTCCGCGAAATAACACCCGTACCACTCACCCCGATGAAGGGCCCCCGATGGACTCGAAACTAGTCGGTGCCGCCACCGGACGAATACGTGTTTAGCCGTTTTTATATCAGCTTATTATAATGTTTCACGAAAGTTTGAATAATTTATCAGTATTATTTTATGGTAAAACTTTATTGGCAGCATTTTCTGATACTATTATTGAATTTAATTACAATTCCAATGGTTTTAATTAGAAAAGAAATACATTTTACAGTAAAAAAAGACTTTTTTCTTCCATTAAAACTTAATTTGTATACTTTATTATACTATATTAATGATGAAAATTTGTTGAATTAAAATATACATTTTTAATATTAAAATAAATTTAATGTCATTCTTGCCTTATTAAATGGTTTTTTTTAACATTATATATTTATATTATCTCTAAATGATTATTTTTTTTTAATGAATATACTTTGATAATATATATATCGAAACAAAATGTGCAAGGACAAAAAATTCTGCCAGAAGTTTTAAAAATTATTGTTAACATTTTATAAGCCCTTGTGTATTATATTTTAAGAACGTTGAAAGACTGTCGCTCGTGGTGTAAACTACCCTTAACATGCACTGATGCCTTTACTTTCAACTTATAATGCAATCTATTGTTTGCATTTGTCTATTCTCATTAGCGTCTATTTCCACTTGGCGTATATCCGCGCGACTCCGTACACGCTCGACTGTTTCAATAGTAATATTGATCGCGTGCGGCTAATTGCTAAGTGGAAATTGGATTTAACTTGTCACTTAACATGGGTTTATGAAATGTAAACTAATCATAAATTTATTATTCCATAGCAACATTAATTGGTTCTATCTGTGATTTTTATCGTCTGTAACTGCGATGCCTAAATAAAATTCCGAAATTAATTTAAGGATGCCTGCCTAGCTAATACTTGTCAAATTTATTAAAAGATTTTTGAGTAATAAAAATGTAAAATTTTTAAAAGAAAAAAATATTTTTTAAAGATAAAAAGGTTTGATGTAAGTTTTTTTTGTATATTACGACGGCTTAATTGTTGCAGTACTACATGTTTTATTTTTTAACGATTGGTCTTATAAATATTAAAGTATTTCGTAGATTTAAGTCGTCAAATTCAAAATTGTAATTTCCTTGCCATCTTGTCTTGCCTTGTTCCGGACCACAAAATGCGTATCGATCAACTTGACAGGGGTGGCCAACATTTTCTAACATAACCACAAATATCTATATCAAAAAACATTTATACTGATTTCTAAACAGGTCTTATTTAAGAAAATATTTGGGCTTATTCAAGTTTAAAAATTAGTTAAAAATTGGCATTTTTATTAAAATGTTGTTTACCCCTGCCTTAATCCTTAATTCGACGAAATTTTTTGTAGCAAAAAAATACTGTATTTTTTAGTTAAGTCATACTTACGTAATTTTCTCTAAACTATTATAGTTCAGTAGATTTTTTTTAATTAGTTGTTCGTCACACTGGACACCATCGAATTAAGGGTTAATATTACTTCTTTATTGTACCTTATCGTTTTAAGACTGTATTTTTTTGTATATGTGATTTTATCAAGAAAAAAATAATCACATATCTTGCAATTTTTTTTAACTCATCTTGTTTCTTAATTAAAGATTCCAATTGCAAAACTCCGGTTGTATTATAAAGTTTGTATTTAGTTGAATGTAGATATTGGATGTAAGTTATTTCATGTAATGATTTAAATTGATTTAATAAGATTTTACCTGTGACGTATTTCAAAAATATTATGATGATTTTAAACGTATTAAAATGCATTTGTTTACATGTTTTGTGTTGCGTAATATAACTGCTTAGAATTCAAATAATTTGTGGTACAAATTTGATTATTATTCTACAAAAAAATATGTCAAGACAATGCAAGTCTTTTCTGTTGTATATTGCGCTTTAATTTATTATATTCTTACTGTTAGATTGTATTAAAAAATCTTAAACAAATAATATTGAATTTTAAGCAGTAATATTTTAGTAGTTGAAATTCCTATTATTGAGAAATTTATAAATAAAACAATTGTTTATAGCAATTATTTTTTATTTAAAGTCCCTTGTAGTTTTATGGTTATGGTAACACTGTTATCAACTGTCAGTTCTATTCAAGCAACCAGCAAGAGAAAACAACATGTCACATATCAAATTTTGCAGATTATTTAAAGAAATCTCTTGTGTCGAAGGCCAATACCCACTTTGGGCCGATGCGCCAGGGAGTAAGTATTTAAAGAAAAATTACTATTTCAAGCCAGTAACAACTCTTAGTTAACGTGCATTGAAAACCTTCATTTCGGACAGAGGGAAAGAAAGGAAAATCATAAAGATTTCGAGCATCGGAATTGCGGCAGTGGTCTTACCGTTGATTTCTAAGACCAAAAATCTCTGTATAAAACATATATTTGAACACAGAAACCCACGTTTAGTAATTTATTGTAGTCAATTATGTTTGCATTTTTTCTTAAACTCCAGAAATGTAAGTATCAAGGTTGTCCCTTAAAATTCTATCTTTTAAATAAAGTAATTTTCCGTAAAAAAAAAATTCAAAGCAAGTTTTTGAATTTTAATTTTAAAAAATCAATAAAATCTATGGTCAACATAATATAGTAATTTTTTATCGTCAAAATTACAAGACACTTTATTTTTCGTTCATGTGCTCTATGCACATGAACGAAAAACACATGCAGTGAATTATTTCTAACTGAGTTGTTGTAAAAAAATCTATATTTTCAATGTCATCACTGTACGCTGGTATGATTAACGTATAGCAGTAAAACAACGGTATGTCAAAAATAAGGTAAGCTTTACACGACACTTGAAAGTTGGTTACTGTTTAACGGTCGCGCTCATTAACACATGCATAGATTTATTTATATTATAAAGAGAAATAGATTTGGCTCCGAAACCACCGAACCGATTTGAAAACGAGTCTAAACTATCCCTGTGTGACATGGCCTCCTATATTTGTTACTAGATTTTTAACTTTCCAACTTAACGTCTACGAATATATTTACTGTGGTAGTCAATTTTGTATGGGAGTTCCTTACTATCTTGTAAATAGTAATTCTGAAGACTGTCACTCAATTTAATAAAGTGCCGTGTATGACTGTCTTTATACTTGCGTGTACTGTACTGCGGCATTGTCTGACGCAAACTAAGTTGATGTTCAGATCAGTGTTCGCCGGCCCGCCTAGCTGAACTGACGTGTCGCGACCTCAATTAAATATACGTACTAAATTACGACTCCGTACAAGAAATATTGAGAAAAAACATTTTTAAATTCATTCATATTTAATATAACATCAACCGCTGCATGTTAAACATCATAAGAAAATTTTGCACGATGAAACCACCGACAAATGTAAGTAGTTTTTTTATTATAATTAGACTACACTTTTTGTTTCGTAAATTTTTAAAATGTGTATTCGAAATTTAAAATTATTTTTTTTTAAATTAATCTGATGCAATAGTAAATCTTAGATTTTTTAAAACTAGGTAAACAGGCCATTGAGCTAAATTCATTTCGTTTAAAATTTTAACGATTATAAAATCGATTCGTTCATTATAATTTAATAATAAATATAAATATTGTGAAATAATTTCTTATTAATAAATCTACGTTAGATGAATAGAGAAAAAATAATGAAAGTTATTTTTATCATACAACAATCTCTAGAGAAAGTAAACATCTGATCTAAATAAACTACCGCCCTCGTCTCGCATCTTTCCTAACAAACGAACCTAATAATCGATCCTTAATCGAAGGTAGAATTCAAACCTAGACAATTAATTTTCTTTCTTGAGATGACAAATAAAAAAGGGTCTTGACAGACGGACGGATAACAAAGTGATCCTGTAAGGATTCCGTTTTTTTCCTATGAGATACGGAACCCTAAAAATGAATGAACTTCCTCTAAAATATAAATCAATTTGTTCGATTGCGATCCTGCAACTTATACATTGATTTATAGGTAACTAACAATCGCCCGCGACTCCGTTCGCGCGTATTAAAAACATATTAGTAGCCTATGTGTTTTCCACATTATGTTATATATGTATGTCAAATTTCATCGTGATCCGTTCGGCCGTTCTGGAGATACCTTCAAATAAACATCCATCCATCTAAACATTCGCATTTATATTAGTAAGATAACTGTTCTAGATATTTACATACTCTCGCGAAAATATCGGTAAAAAACAAACTTTCTTTACACCCATGGTTACTTAGCACATTTTTCAATATGTTGCTATAATTATTTCTAATGAATTACTGTAAAAAATACTTCATTCGAGGCGAAATATTCTAGATTTTATTTTTATTTAAATAACTAACGAAGATTGAGGTCTTAATAAAACAATTGAATGAATGAAATTATTCAATTTGATTCTTAGTCACGTGCTATCAATAAGGGCACGTGCTTTTTATTCAATCTTGAACCTAAACTACGACTGCGGCCTTCGGGGCTCTAATAGACGACAGAAATAGATCCGCCGAGCCACATACGACGACCGAAGTTTACAGTTCGCTTATGCTAATAAAAATCACACTTTTTGCGAACACAAACAATGAAGTCACGTGAGTTTAAATAATAAAAAAATATTAAACTTATACATAACTAGCTCTCGCCCGCGACTCCGTCCGCGTGGATATATAAAAAAACTTAATATATAGATAAGTTAAATAAAAAGCAGCTCTTCAAGGCATAAATTCGAATAAAATAAAAGAAGAATAAATAGTATCCTATGTCCGTCTCCTGGCTCTAAGCTACCTCCTCACCAATTTTCAACCATATCAGTAAAGCCGTTCTTGAGTTATAAATAGTGTAACTAATACGACTTTCGAATATATAAATATATACATTTTATGAATAGTATTATAACAAGGTTTTCAATTCCCTGAGTCAAAATGTAATAACATATTTACCATTTTGCATTTTATTATAAAGAATTAAATTTTTAAGCGTGCATCAACATAACATCGACTATTAAGTGGTAGACGATAGAACACATGAAGACGGGCTTCGTCGTCGTTTATTTCAACAAATTCATGTGACCGTTTGCTCGTTTGCCTTATGATATTAAAAAAAAACCTATTCTAAAATCGACAAAAATACTGTCATTCTAATGATGAATTACTAATTGGCATTCTGTAAAATGGAGATAAGATTAATAACAAAATACTGTATGCAATTTTCAATCGATCATTGTTAACATTGACCCTTATCCATTGATAAGAAAGCTTATTAAGAGTATCATCTACTTCGTTGTTCCAATGAACTAATTCTAATTTCACACGAAGGTAGGAGAGTACCACAGAACAGTTCTATTCAACATACTATACCGAGATAGAACTGTGGGCTTAGAACGAATATTTATGACAGTCGCCTTCGTAATTGGCCATTGACAAAATTTGTATTAAAATTTGTGTAGCGGCCCTATTAATTTTGACATCATTGAAGATGACGAGACCAAGGAGATTGTATGAAATATCGTGATAGGTACACTGTATTGTTAAGGTTACTGCCTTACACATACTTTGTGGGACCCAGCGATCAATTAAAACTAAATGCGGCAATAAGATCCGTTTAAACAATATCAGTACTGCAATGTCTATTCTACTACAGTTGTCCTCGTGTGAAACTAGCATCAGATAATTGCGTCTGAATCGTAATTGTTCTATATGTACAAGATGTCCATTGTGACCGTAATGTGAAAGTCATTGACCTTGTCTTCTTTAATATTGATATCCAACATTGTACGACTACAATAGATATTGACAACGCAATATAAACAATCTATAACTTATCTTTGTTTATAAATTGTATTAAAATAAAATTAAGCACGAACTTCTTTATCCTATATTAAAATGTTCAGGTTGCGTTGCGATGGGCCGCGGACGAGAGCGAAAGCGTGCCCGTGGTACCGTCCCGATGCGTTGGAGGAACAGAGAGGTTTAGTGGGTATGCCTCCGCTATGGAGGAGAACCCCACATAACTACCGCGTCCCCCCCCGGGGCGCGGAGTATGCATAAAGCATTCCCCTCTGAAAAAAAAAGGTAGAAAACTGTCATATTACATTCAGAGTAATTCAAATGTATACCGTTTAGTAAATATTTAATTCTACTTAATCTCTTAATTGTTTTTTACTATTAAGACAAATTTATTATTAAACAAGATTATAAACAATGCCAAGATAATAAGTTTTAATATCAGATTACAGATTACAACTTGAAGATCAAAACATAACCTTACAATGGCCATGCGTTTAATGCTAACATTGTAAAAGGAAACATGAGATCTTTTATATGTTTTAATAAATTGTTAGTTAGTCCTTCAATGCGTTCCTAAACTATTGGAACCTAGACTACATTTGCAAGCACGGCATCACCATTTTGTATGTACATTCCCGGAATCCTAGACTTGTAACGTTTCCTCACAAATTTGCACTAAATATATTACGCCATGACTTTATTTGTTAAATCTGCTTAGGTTTGATAATACGGTGAGAAGGAGCACTGTCATAAAACATTGTTTTTAGGGTTCCGTACCACATAGGAAAAAAACGGAACCCTCATAGGATCACTTTGTTGTCCGTCCGTCCGTCTGTCAAGACCTTTTTCTCAAAAATGCGTAACGGTATCAAGCTGGAATTTATTTAGTCATCCGCCACCAAATAAGTAAAATCTTTGAGAGCTTGACTCGCATAAGATTCTTTGACATGTAATCACTATTTGAAGGAACGTCTGGAAACTTAAAGGCCGGCAACGCATCTACAGTTCCTCTGGTGTTGCAGATGTCCATGGGTGTCGTTGATCACCTCGGTGTTCCCGCCGCTCGTTGACCCCCTTCTCTTATAAAAAAAAGAAGAAGAAGAAAGACGTTGAATTAATGATGTTAAAAGTAATTCATAGTTGTATATGCAAATATGTTTTAACTTAGAATAATTACCTTGTCTTATCCAGGCGGCGCTCCTCCATGATGTGGACATCCCGACAAAGAAAGCGACCTTCGGAATGGGCTGCTTCTGGTCAAATGATTCTCTCTTCGGCGCCACGCCTGGCGTGGTGCGGACACGCGTCGGTTACTCTGGAGGCACAACAAAGAATCCACATTATAGGAGCATGTAAGTAAATATTCTTTTGTTATTAATGGCAGATAAAAAACTCACTTACAACTACATCTTACTAATATTATATGCAAATGTTTGGTTGACGTTTGTCCGAAACGGCTCAAAGGATCTTGATGAAATTTGGCAAAGATGTACAACGTATTCTGGAAGATTTTCATGGCGTCTTTAATCTATTATTTAGTTTCATCATCTTTAGTTTTTCTTAAACCATTAAAAATTATTGAATTCTCTGCATACATTTATGCTTACTCATAAACCTTTAATCTTCTATTTTCTAGTTATCAACACTATCTAACTAAGCATATCTATCCAGTATTAAGATAAGCAATATACATTACTAAATCCATTATATAAGAAACACGTGCTTTTATTTTTACCTATATCATCTGAAGATGAAATACTAAAGCAAATGAATCACGTGATTTTAATACAAAATACGCAAAATCCATCTCTGGAATAATATTTTTAAAAGGAATTCGTATAAAAAATATAAAAGTGTTATAAAAAACCGCTAAATTTGGTACCACTCTGTCTTATCATATAGGTCAAGGTCTGTTACTCTTCCGTCTTTATATTTTTAATATTTTATTCTATGATAACTTCAATGATTCATACTAGATGTCGCCGGCGACTCCGTCCGCGTAGAATTAAAATAAACTTAATTAGTAGCCTATGTATTTTTCTAGAATATTTTCTACATCTTATCCCTTTTAAATAAACATCCATTCAAACATTCGCATTTATAATATTAGTAAGATAATTAAATGACACGTGCAGAAATTAATGAAATAATATTAAGTATACACGAACAATTATCGCATTTAATTCAATTAATTGCTTTTATGACTTGCATTTCTTATTCTCTTCTAATGCTTGTAATTGTGTTATAATATTGTGCAATTACCATGAATTATTGTTTGTCTTTAATCATAGTCTTCTCCATCCATAAATCCATACAACTATCCATTAATCCTTGTTTATCTATACGTTAATAATGAAGCTTGTGGATATTAAGATATTTACTAAGATTAATAATAGATGATTACTATTATTTTTAATTTCTATTGTTTGTCGTGCACACTTAAACATACATAATTTCATAGAATATTTATAGACTCTACACGTGTAAGCTAGAAACAAAACAAAAACGGCGTCATATTTTACTTTCTATGTGTATAACAACATCTTACTAATATTATAAATGCGAATGTTTAAATGGATGGGGAAAATGGATTGCGGAGGTACGTTTGGCCATACCAAATGGAGGTCCGTGGATTCTGCCTACCCCTCTGGGTCACTGGCTTGAGTTGTGTGTATATCAGACGGATGGATGGATGTTTGTGAGAAGAAATGGCTGCATGTATCTTGCTATTTGGCATAGATGTAGAACATAGTCTGGAAGAATTCATAGACAACTAATTTTGTTTTTTTTTTATCGCAAAAACGGAGTCTCGTGCGACAGCTATTTTTGTTAAATTAATAATATCGATAACCCTACATTTTCTGAATCTGAAAGTCCTGCAGGTGGTCAAATAGTCAAGTACAAAACGGGAAACGTATTTTAGTGTGGAATTCCACAGACCTATATTGTTATCTCTGTTAGTTTAAAAGAGAATGACAAGAATGACAATATATTAAAATTTTATTATATTTTTCAATAGAGGAAACACGTGGTTACAATTTACTTATTCTAACATTTTTGTTCTCTGTGCCTCGTCGTCGTAAATTTCGGTTTAATCCAAGGTTGCCGCCTTGGCCTTGCTCCGTAAGCGCACGCGAGACCCGATAGCTGTCTGGCTATTTATATCGCGATAGTAAAACATTTTATTTAGGTCAACGTAATCTTCTATGATTTGAACGTAGATATCTGCTAATCTGTGCTATTATTATATCTTTTTATTATGAAATTATTATAAAATGCTACATTTAAGTTTTTGAATGCCTTATGACTTTGGACCTTAGTCTAAGTAAGGATAGGAGATTTAAGAAGGGTTTTAGGACAGGAAAATTGCATTACCTCGAACTTCTAATAAAGAAACGTAGAATAGCTTTAACAAAAAAAAAAACAATGTAAGAACTAAAACTATCCACAATAAATCCAAAGACAATAAATATAAAAAATATAATGTAGTCACCGACATATTAATAAAATTGTAGTGTTTTTATGTAATATAGAATAAAAAGAAACGTACACATGATGTATTTACATAGCTAATAAAGAAAAAAACAATTTTTAAATTTTTTATTTGTATGTCTGTCCGCAAGGCCGTCTTTGTTTCGGACAATCTCCGGAACGGTTAGACCGATTTTGACGGGAAAATAACAGATGGATGCGAGCTAAAGGCTACTCTTGTTTTAAATCCGCTTAGACGAAATCGCGGGCGACCCCTAACTTAATAAGTAAACTTCTCTTTCCGCTTGTATTCTGTAAGGTCTTTGTTAAGTCGATTAATTTATTGCATATAATTTTGTCGACAAATTCCACAGCGGTGACCACACTGAGGTGATAGAGTTGGACTTCGATCCAAAGACGGTGTCGTACGAGGATCTACTGGACATGTTCTGGGCAAACCACGAGTACGGACTCACGACTAAGCTTAAGAGACAGGTTGGTTTTTAACTTTGTAAAAATAATCTTACTTATATTATAATGGCGAATGTTTGGGTGTATGGATGGCTGAATGTTTGTTAGAAAACACAAAGATATGTTTATAATATGTTTTAAACGGTGATTTTGGTCTCGGGAACCTATAGTAAATGCAAGGCATGGTTGCGTTCCACTGCGAGGCGATCTCGAAATTTCCAAGAAATTCTCTCGACTGAAACCAGTCGTTAGCGTGTGTTTTTGTGATCATTGTATGTACCTATACGTACTTCGATAGCATTAACTTTGTCGAAGTAATTTGTAACTGAATATTAAATATGTTTTCCTTCTGTTTTTAAATGTTAAACTACGGTAAATTTTACTAACATAAACGCGAATGTTTAGATGGATAGATGTTTGTTTCAAGATATCTCCAGAACGGCTGTATGGATCTCGCAGAAATTGGGCATAGATGTAGAACATAGTCTGAAAGAACACACATGCTACTAATTAAGATTATTTTTAATACCGCGCGGACGGAGCCGCGGGCGACAGCTAGTATTGTATGGTTATAAATTAGTTTTGCTATAGGCTTTACAAAATGATGGTATCTGGTCACTTAAATTGAAAAAAAAATCTTTTAACTCTTTGCCTTATTTGTTTTTAATTTAATTTCAAATGTAGTCATAGTAATAAAAAATCGTTTTTAATTTAAACCTATTTGCATAGATAAAATTAAGCCAACAAAAATATTAACATTTGACATTTTAATAATCAATGTCTTTGAATATTTTATCTGTCCCTTATTTACAAAACAACAAATGTTATCTGCATTAATTACAAGAGTTTATATTTGAATAAAAATATTTCGCAATAAATTATTAAAACTTTCTTAACTCATTATAATATTAAATTATTAACAATAATTAATATTATAATTAAACCGGTGTCGTATACTATTAGTTTCGGACTTATCTGTGGTCCTTTAGGGCGAGTATTAGGTTTGGATTTACGATTGTGGTTGCACTAAACCTTTTGAAGCTTGACTTTCCAAAATTAACACTTAAGAACGATCATATACGGCTCTGAAACTAGCCTGTACAAAAACCGGACTAATTTAACAGGAGTACCCGCTGTTAATAAGTTTATAATTTTTATTGTTAAATAATAACCACAATTTGGATTTTGTTTTCATTCATGATAAAAATCAAACATTGATTTATATTTCTCTAATCTACGAATAAAGAAAAGTTCTGTTTAAAAATATTTTTTAACCGATTCAAAATGGAGGAGGTTCTCGATTGGTCTTAATATTTTTTTGTACATTAACACTTCTGGTTACAGGACAATTTTAATTAACAACCAAATATAATGGCGATTGAAAGCATTATTGATTTATTTATAAACTTTTACAAAATGAATTATCCTTGTCAGCAAAAAGGAAACTAACCTAAAAACGTATATAATTAAAATAACGTTTCGTACTTGTTTCAGTATCAATCCATGATCCTTTACCATGATGAAGAACAAAGAGAGGCGGCGGAGAGTTCATACAAACAGATGCAAGTCACTTGTAATGGTCAGCTTCGGACAGAAATTGCACCGGCTGGCATCTTCTATCCTGCAGAAGAGTATGTATTTTTATTTATCTTTATTGCCAGCAATGCATGTGCACTCTGTCTATGGGGGTCGATGAACACCTGTGTTTCCGTTGCTCGTTTGCCCACTTCTAATAAAAAAAATAACTTCACAAATTTTGTGGATGAGTTTTGATCAATACAACTTTACTGAAGATCAATCAACTAATTTAGTTTAAAAAAATAACCTGTGCATTTATGAGGGGTTCGCGTATTAATTTTTCATGCTAAGAGGTCAAACTTGATAATTAAATTCGATGCATTTCGTTGATGTGTTTTTGAACATTTTTAATCTATTTGAAACAAACTTAATCGATCATAATCGAAAATATGCTAACACTTACTACTACAGATTATAAATAATCTTTGGATCAATAGGTTATTAGCATTTATGTGCATGTATGTATGTATTTATGTAGTGTTAGGAAGAAAATCCGACACTGTGCCGGTGTACTGGCACAACACTAGCGTTACTAACATGTCGACGTTTATGTCCCCTCACTAATAATTCTGACACTTGACTTGGTAATAAAAGAGCGCCCTTTGCGCCAAAGAATTCTAATTAATAATGTCTAAAAGTAGCTACTCTTCTTGTTTAATAGTTTATCTACACGTGTGCCGAAGAATCCTTCGATATAAATAAGAAGGCCGCGACTCCTTAGCGACAATATTTTAATATTCCAAACGATTATTTGCATTCTAAATATGCTTAAATATTATGCGTCTTGAATCTTGCAAAAATTATGTCAAGGTCTACGTCTATGAATTGAAATCATTGACCTCTAATTAAAATGGCTGCCATCTTTTCCCGCTTGTAATCGTGACCTATTAAAATTTGTTGCTAAGGGCTATTACTTGACAATTTTATAGTTTTGACCTTTATTACTAAGTATCAGATTATAATATTTAGGTTAATATGTTTCTAATGTGGTGTTTGTTTTGATGTTATGGAAATTTACTATGAAATCTATTTAAATTCATACTTTGTAGACATTCCTTGCAATTACGATGTTATTGTGCGTATAGCAAATTGTTGGAATTAGTTACAAGTTTTCGTCCAATCCTAACATGGTCCAATCCTAAGCCAAAAACAAACATTTGTTAGCAACAATCAAGCTAGTAAAGAACGTGTCCATTATATTAATTGGAAATTGAACGAATCGAAATGTTTATAAAGTATTGAGAAAGCTATTCTCTAATATATTACAGTTCGTTTCTTAATTATTTAACTTTTTAGGGTTCCGTAACTCATAGGATAAAAACAGAACCCTTATAGGATTACTTTGCTGTCCGTCCGTCCGTCTGTCAAGACCCTTTTTTATATTATTTTATTGTAAAATTCTGTTTACAAAGATTTGGTTTGATATAGAAATTAATTATAATTTGGCTATTGCTAAATTAAGTTAGTACTTATGATAAGATTTTAGTCAACTAAAAAAATCATCATAAAAAAAACAATTTGGGTTACTTTCTTATTTGATTTATTACCAGTACTTAATGATTTGTGAAACAAAAACTGGTTTAGTGTGTAATTTTTTCTCGATGCAAAAAAATTTATACAGTGTTATTGACCCCAATTGAGCTCGCTCGCAAAATGATGCTACGAAATTGAAAGTAGACAGTGTACTGATTAATTTGATCTCGGGATCGTTTCAATCAAAGACAATAGAAGACCCGCAAATGTAAGCCAAATGGCTGTGTATTCAAAGAGGTTATTTTATGTGTGGATTAATTTGTTACATTTAAATCAATGCTTTAAATCTGCTAATTGAATCGGTAGCTTGTAATGAGGGTGTTTAAATAGTACTATAATTACTTTTTTTATTTGCGGTGTTGTTAAATGTCGTGCCATGGATTCCGAAGTCTACAGTTACGGGATTCACACGTACAATTTATCGAAACTTATTTTTTTTAAAGTCTTAATTATATTTATTTTTAAATTATTAACTAATTATTTGTATTTATTTTACAGTTACCATCAGAAATATAGATTGCAAGGTCACAAGGACCTCTGTCGCAGCATCGGTTTGGACTCAACCAAGTTGCAGACCTCCCACCTTGCAGCCAGGCTCAACGGGTACTTGGTGGGAGTTGGAGGGAAGACGCAGTTCGAAAAAGAGGTCGCTCAGTTGGGACTTAGTGAGAAACAAGCGGAATACGTTAGACGTGAATTGGAACGCAACGAAGGAGGCGGACTTGCTTGCTAGTTTTTTTTTTAATTTAACATAATAATGCACAGTATAAGATGTCGATGATAAATTTTTAATTATTATAAAATAGATTTATCTTTGCTATGAAACGTAAAAGGAATTGAATTAAAAAAACATGACTAGTTTGTATTTGTATAGTAAATAGTCCTTTTATTTTGAAAGAGATTTTTTTGATATTAAATTCCTTGAATGTATACGACATCTGTGCATTTTGTAATCCATAGACAATTTTATTATTTCTTTATTTCATTCCATTATAAGTAGTGAAAAGCACGAATATGTGCAATCGTTAATTTTAATTTTGTAAAACATTTATCTCATATATAATATATTTTTATTTTGTCAAAATTACGTAAAAAAATTCAGTAATACGGATAAGAAAAATATTGTGGTTTAAACACTAAGCTAAATAAATTACTTATGTACTCTTCATCTAGGTACCTAATCTTTGTTAGAAAAATTTCATTATATTTTATGACACGAAAATGCTGTAACATTTAGTTTAAGATACAAAAATATTTTACAATAAAATATACATTGTTTTATTGTCTTTTATATCATACTATATAGAAGTTATATTCATTAAAAAATCAACTATACACTCTACTCTGGGGAACATCTACCAATCGAATGGAACCTCAACCTTCTAAAAGGCTTTTAAGCAAAAGACTACAAAAGAACGGATACGTAAAGACCAAAAAAGATGGGCATAAGTTAAACTAAATTATGATAGCTCACTAGCGCCCCTCTGTGGACACAAAAAAACTGTCACAAGATCCTTGTCGTACATCTGACATCTCATAGTTTTTCTTTTATGCATTTTTCTATGCCTACGTAGGTTTTACATGTTTTCTGACAAAACTGACCGCGATAACGACGCTTCTCCGCGAACCAAATATTTGACTATACCTTCAAATATTTAAACCCTTCTGCCAAAAACATTATAATAGGATTGAGTTTGTAAAGATAAAAATGTAACATTGTTGTGTCTTGTCTGTGCCTATTTTTGTCATGTCATTGTGCGTACAGTTCATACATCAGTCATCACCACACGCAGTGATTCAGTACCAGTTTCTCAGCCAAGATAAAGATAGATTTTGTAAATAGTAAATTAGATTTTTTGATGCCAAGCCATTATGCAGTCGGTCTGGTGGTGAATAATGATGAATCTTGAAAAATTAGCACTCTGAACGTTATGTGAACCATGTCACCATTTGCCATCTATCGGACACAATAGTTAACCATAAAATATTAACAAAAAGTATTAATAGATGGCGCTGGCAAGATTTATACTAATGATCTATGGAATCTGTTTCAAATTATTGTGGATAGATGTCGCTGGTGATATTCAAAAATGAAGGAATTCTGTTTAAAACCTAAATTTCTTAATTTAATTTATATTTCTAATGATGTCCGTATGATCGAATAATTTTTTTTTTTAGAATTAAATAAGATTTCTTGATCTTAATCTTGAACAAGAAACAAATTTGACATCTCATCTGAACCATGGATAATCTTGCGCTGAGATAAAACTACCTCCAATCAAGTGCCGTAACTTCTCAGCTTTTAATCTATATTATGGAATATATCTACATACAGGAGAGTTTTCAACATATCACTGTTTTGTCAAAATTTTATTGGAAATGAACAGTTGACGTTATTAGCTAGAATTTGTTCCTGTCTTATTAAAAACATAATAAACACATTTTGGTACTTTAGTAACTTATGTAGTTTGTAACAATGACTCAGAATTGGAATGATTCAAGCTTGACTGCTACCACAAAAGGATTTGATAAAATTGAGTCACTATTACCAATATGACGGTAATAAACATTACGGTAATAATTAACTGACCGTTTCTGACTCCAAAATCTCTGTATAAAACATATCGTCATCCTTCTCATGAGTGGAATTTGCCCGGCTCGCTCGATGAAATACGGTGGAATACGACCACACAGAAGACACGCATCAAGTGGAAGCAATTCCGCGTGCAGTCTGATGAGTGTGCGTCCCGGAGGCCTAATTTAGTCCTCTTTCCCTTCCCACCCTTTTTTTTAAAGGTAGGCAACGCATATGCGATTGCATATGTCTAAGGGCAACGGTCACTTCGATATTTAAGCGATTTCAGGTAGCCGTTCACTCGTTTGCCACCTTATAATATAAAAAGAAAATGTGTTTAAGCGATTTTGGTCTTAGAAACCAACGAAAAGAAAGAATCAATATGCGATTTCTCCTAACCCTTGAAAACCAGAAAGATTTCTTTGTTATACTTGTCTCTTTTCATTTCTTATAACATAAAAGGGATGCATAGTGTTACGATGAACCTCATTGGCCTTTAACTTAATACGTAGAGTCGTGTAAATGGAATAATTTATTGCACAATGCGTAGTTTGTTTTCTTCAAGCTCATTGTTGTTTGGTGCGTGCGTGCGATGCGTTACAATTACGCTTCAAAACAAATGAAGAATTCTTATTGTACTTTAACATTCACTCTCATTTATGATAAGTGTGCGTCGATAGAGTTCAAATCATTTTTATTTGTAGAAAAACTTTTGTATAAAACTATTGTTAATTTCAATATCCTAGATGAAAACACAATTCACCTTATTTTAACACACTCAATGCCACTGAATTGCCTGGTTTCTTTCTTGATGCTGTCTTTTTCTCGATAAAAAGTATTATGTCCTTTTTCAGGGTCTACATCAGTGGTTCCCAAACTTATTTTATCTACTGCCCACTCTGAGAATAAATATTTTTTTAGCGCCCCCATATTTTCACATATTTAAAAACCACTGTAACTTCAAATTAAATTAATTATTGTGACCTATATATATATATATATATATATTAACGGTGAATTCTAAACGAAACTTTTACTATAGCCCGCAACTTGAGACCTGCAGCGCCCACAAGGGGGCGTTATCGCCTACTTTGGGAAAGACTGGTCTAGACTTTCAGTGTACCAAAATTTATTTAAGTCGGTTCAGTAGTTTTTGCGTAGAAGAAGGACAGACAGGCAGAGTTACTTTCGCATTTATAATATTAAGTAAGGATTGATAAGGATTGTTGGACGTGTTAAGCGGTGGATGTGATTAGATTGAGTATACATCTTTGAAATTAGACTATTCATTTGGAATAAACATAAAAAAAATAATGCAGGCAGGAAATAAAATTAAGGGTGTTAAAGAAGAAAAGTAGTAACACAATTTGCTGAAACCAAAATTTGAACGGGAAGGGGAAAGCCTACAAGAAAATTAATTGGGAAACTATGCTTTAGATGATATTAATATCTTACCATTTAATTGGAATTTTGTTACCGACTAAGTATAATAATGTTTACGAACAACTAAAGTTAATTACTTACATATTTTTCTTAAAATGCACTCACGCAAAGGAACTATTTGTTGAAACTCTGACATTTAACATTGACGGCGTTGTTTTTGAAATTAACAACAAAAATGCGCATTCAATGCTTACGGATATGTGGTTTCAAATGAAATTTTAACGTTAAATTGCGTTTAAACTTAAGATACGAGTGGTTAAATATCTATAATTTTCCATTGTATCGACGTAGTTACACATTTTGACGTCAATCATTTGGTTGGCTTCCATTTTTTTTTTTCCAAAACTTTTGAATAAAGAATGTTTTCATTTTTAGGGAAAAGTTCTCAGTGCTTGTCTAAACTTTAAGGATTTGACACATTGAAAATACGTTGATACACATTTTTAAATTTACTAGAGAGGCCAACAATATTTCTAATCTTTGTATACCAGTCGATTCAAAATCAAACTTAAAGTTGATTACTGAAACTAAAATCCCCGTTTCAAACATATTGTCATCTCTATTTCGTCAAAGATAATGACAGGGATGACGATATGTTTTATACAGAATTTTAGATATCAGAATGCTTAATGGCTAATCCAATCCTAACACATCACCCTGTAATTTCATTTAAAGTTTGCTTAATTCAATTGGCTTTATTTGAAACAGGTCAATTTGTTAGTAATCATTCAGGTACCGCGACAATTCGTCAGCCACAGAGGACAGGATAAGGTAAGTCGCCAATCAAACAATTGAAAAACGTTCCTGGACGTTAGTCCTGTCTCCAGTGCGAGTGCACCGAGCTTGCACCAGAAGTAGCCTCAGTTAACAACATAATTCATTTTGCTCAACGAATTTATTGTTGGAAGACGTAAATAACCGTCGGTATCCACTGTTAATCCGAATAAAAACATTTTAACAAAGAGATAACGATGGTCTATTGAAATGACGTAAGATGGATCGAACGGGAGGACAAAGATCTATGAGCCTAGCACGTATAATTGCGACAAGCGTCCTCGAATGTCCATCCTGATAAATGTGATATTTAAAGAGATTTTTGGCTTACTTTACGCCCGCTAGAGTTGCTGGAGGAAATGGAAAAAGATGATAATGAAATAGACGATATTATATTTTGTACAGATGCTTAGACAATGTAAACGCACGGATAGAATGCTCAAGGTCACAAAAGGGCAATGACAGCCCTCGAAGTTTACAACGAAGCGTTCAGAAACGTATGATCTCTAATTTTACATAATGTTATTATTATATTTTAGTTACATTTAGATCGACGTTATAATCGTCCGGAAATACTGACGCTGATACGTTATTCTAATCCTGGTTGATTCGTAATATGCATGATTCATCAATATTATTGTAGCATTAAAATTACCTTAGGTCTTTGAATAAACAGCATTTTATCGCAAACACTATTTAGGCACGTGCCTGTGTAGACGTCAAGATACCATAACATGGAAATTGTTTGTTTTCCATTATCAGTAGCACCGAAAACCTCTTTACCTACTTGCCATCAGTTTCCATTGCTAAAATTTTACAAAAACCTCCCTCACAATCACTAAAAAAGCAACTTAACGACTCGACACATAATAGGATGACCATAGTTATCTCTCTTAATACCGTACTCAGAGTTATTAATCGTTTACTAAGGGAGATTGCTTACTATTAGTTTCTGAGACCAAAGTCCCTATGTAAAATGAGATATTACAATAGGTTTAAACGCAGATTTTGATCTCCGAAACGGTTATTGTATACTTTATCCACACGAAGGAGGACCATTTCATATCTCTGAGGTCGCCAATTGCATTGGAATTTCCTTGTCTTTTTTTCTTTTACTCTTTCAAATACAAAGCATACTCAAAGTTCGTTCTTATTTATACCAGTCGTCAATCAATCTGGTCCAGTTCCGTCACATTTGGTCGCGCAATAATAGAGTCTTCGCGTATTACTTGGCAAAGAGACGTGTGTCTGACCGCGGGCCAAATCATTTATCATTACGTCACTGATACGCACAATGACTTGGCACCTACATTGGAGCGTGCTCTGATTGATAACAATTACATGAAAACGGCAGAATTGTATGTAGGTACTAACAGTCGCCCTTGACTCCGTCCGCGCGGAATTAAAAACTAAT